AGGTGACCGAGCTCCCCAGAGTTCACCGGCTACCGTTAGAGAAGAAGCTGAAATGTCACCTTCTACCTGAGCCTATGCTGCTGCTGTGCTGGGCCATCTTGGAATCAGAGCCAGTACTGGAGTGGTTTCTGCTTTGGGGGTAGGTAACCCTTGATGAGGCCAAATCTGCATGCTGCGCACCCAGTAGCAAGCAGACCTGCTGCTCTGCCTTAGGCTCTAGGGCCAGACTACCACAAAGCAGATCATCCTTCCTTTCAATGACTGATCTCCCTCTTGTTAAGGTGAAGCAAAAGTGATGCCTTTCTACCTGGGAACCCAGAACTTTACTCAACCAGAGCACTCACATCTCCTGCACCACAACAAGGGAGCACCAGCCTCCAGGTTACCTCAGACCTACGGCACAGGGGAGCAGGAGTGCTCCAGAGCACATGCAGTGCCTCACACCTCATGCAGGGACCTTAAGCCTCAGGTACAATGGGGCTGCTGCTCGCTGATCCCACCAACATCGCTATCAGGGCAGGACCCCAACTTCTACTGGTGCTAAGCCTCTGGCACAGAAGGACTCTTTCACCTCCCAGTACACAGAGCTCCATCCTTAGATATCTGAAGGGTTTGTTGACCCATGTGGCTCCACCTTCTAGGGCTAAACAGATACAGGAAGGCTTGTTCCCCTGGGAATCATAGCCTTGGCTGAGTTGAGCCACCACATCCTCCAGGTCACAAAGTCATGGCACCAGCCCACTGTGAACTGGGCTAGGAACCCACAGTCTAATCTGCTGATTCTCTCTGGAGAAGACCATCATTGCTCCCTAAGCTGCAGTGGTACTATTCCTGGAATTGCTGATACCCCACCTGACCTCACAGAGCATAATGGACCCTTGTGTCCCACCATCCCAAGTTCCAAAGTCACCACTGCATGCAACCCCATGTCTTATTGGTTCTGGGTCCTGAATTACATCTGTAGCCTGTTCCCTGGAACAGCCTCCAGGGGGTCCCTTTCTCTCCATGCTGTGTCAGGATTATGTCCTGAATCCCAGGGTCAGAATCACAGTTGATACCAGACTCTGAGTATATATCTGAGTTGCTGGGTGTGCCTCATAGCAACAGACTCTCTTAGTAGGAGAACTATATTCGTTTGTGCTGTGGACAAAGAATAGGTACCCCAGCCACAGGTGTTTTGATAGTTTTAAAAGTCTCTGAGCTCAACAACCTATTTTCACAGCTGTTCCAAACACCCGAGTCCTGGATCCCAATCTTGTTTTGAATGCCTGTGAGTCATGTCACACTGAATCCCCCCACAGTATTCCCTACCATGCTGAATACATGGTATTCAATACAAGGTATTGGTATTCAATATAAAAATTGGTATTCACTACCAAAGCCCTCACCCTAGTAACTTATGCAGCCACTATCACTGATACCAATTCCTGTAGCCTAGAAGACAGAAGTACCCATGGCCATAACCAACAATGATCAACTGAAAAAGCTCACAGAGACCACAGCACTACATCCATGTGGAACTTGGGGCACCACATGCTGTCCCACCACCACCATCAGGCATCAGGTGAAGATATGTAGGTAAAAATCTTTGCAAACAAAGAGCTACTTCGTAAAATCTGGAACCAGATACGTGAACACCAATTAAGTGACAGAAGAAACGTGAAAAGGTGAGAAAACATGATTCCACTGGAGGAGCACAGTAATTCTCCAGTAACTGACCCCAAAGAAATGGAAATTTTATGAATTATTTGAAAAGGAATATAAAATAATAAATATGAAGCAATTCAGTGAGATATGAGAAAACACAAGATTCAATGAAATCAAGAAAAGAATTCATGCTCTGAATTAAAAACTCAACAAAGAGAGATACAAAAAAGAATTAGAAATCATGAAGAATTCAATTAATGAAATAAAGATACAATTTAGAGTTTCAATGTTGGAATAAATCAAGCAGAAGAAAGAATCTGTAAACTCTAAGATACAGTCATTTGAAATGTCTCAATCCAAAAAAGTAAAAAGAATTAAAAAGAATAAAGACAATCTACAGGACACATGGAACACCATCAAGTGGAGAGATATTTTATTCTGGTAGTGCTAGAAGAAGGGTCAGAAGAAAGGAAAAGAAAAAAGCTCTCTTAATAAAATAATTGCAAAAAAATTACAATATCATTGGATACATGAAGCTCAAAGTTTCCGCAACTGAGATCCCCTCTGAGACACATTTTGACCAAGCAAAATTCAGAAACAAAGAAAGGTTGTTTAAAAAAAAGAAAGAAAAGAAAGAAAGAAAGGAAGGAAGGAAGGAAGGAAGGAAGGAAGGAAGGA